ATTCCAGTGAAATATATTTATGTTTGTGGTTGTAATGTGACAAAATATGGAAAAGTTCAAGGGGTATGAATACTTTTGCAAACCACTGTATGGTTGTTTTTAAGTGTGATTCTCAGCCACCAATCTTTAAACTGATCATCTAATCCTAAATGAACTTTTTATAGTAACTAGACTTTGGTCTAATACTATTTATTCTGTTGTACATTTTTTACACTATGGAGATCATGTTTTAAACACAAAAATATCTATTCTGGCATAACTTCCATGTCAGGTAAATGTGCTGTTTCTTTTTAATATGAATATGTCTTCAAACACCTGATAGGTCAGGTTCTTTCAAACCCCAAAACACATTACGACAAAGATTAGTTCACCCCAAAGATCCAGTTCCCCAGCAAAAACAGAGTAATATAGTATATGCTGTTAAGTGTCAGGAGGACTGTGATCAGTTATACATTGGGGAAACAAAACAGCTACTGTTCAAAAGAATGAGCCAGCACAGACGAGCTACATCGTTGGGCCAGGACTCTGCAGTTCACACTCATCTATAGGCCAGTGGTCATTCTTTCAGGGATGAAGATGTTCTCATCCTTGATAGAGAGGAATGTTGGTTTGAGAGAGGAGTGAAGGAGGCCATCTTTGTGAAGAAAAATCGTCCACCATTAAACAGAGGTGGAGGCCTTCGTGTCCAGTTGTCCTCCTACAATGCTGTTATTGCAAGTATGACTCAGCCCCCTGTGAGCAAAAAGTATGAATCAGGGCCCCAATGGTACCAACACAAAGAGGGAAAGAGGGGCAAAAACAAGGGGACTTTGAACCCCCGCTTGCATTCACTACATTCACATAACACGACACGGGTCAGGTGATGGGCCTCTTTGAACAATAGAGCCAATCAAGCCTATTGTTAGGCGATGGCCCTCTTTTGCATGTGACTAACCTGTTTGTCCATGTGGAGGCAGTGCTTACAGTATAAGGCTGAGTTCACCTGAAACTCATCAGACTGAAAAAGTCTCTTGGAGGAGAGAAAAAACGTTTCACTAAAGAAGAACCCATCCAGAGGGCCTACTTATTTTTTCTTTTTGATTTTTTTCTACCTGGATTACTGAGATGCATCAGGACGTCAGGTTCTTTCATCATACTTTATAAATCATACACATCACTATCAACATGTGATCAACTTTACTTAGAGAATTTGAAACTTTGGTCAACTCACTCTCTTTTTAGTTTAAAATGTTCTCATTTTGAAAAGATGGAGTAAGAGTCACTGAAGAGTCGCTGGCCCAAATTATTTTCTCCAGGGTTGATTATTAATTCCTCCTGGATTTTTCACGTCCTGTTTAACTTACTGAAAAAAAAGGAAAGGTGTGTCATTAAATCAACATGAACAAACTTTGGTCCATAACATATTAGGGAAAACAATTACTTTGTAACATAAAACAGAACTTCCTTTTTACTCCTAGCCTGCAGTAAAATACCAGTGCTTAGTCCCTGCTGGTCCTGGGCCAGAAAGGTGATATCTACAATCTCTACGGAGTGAAAAAGATCACAGTTATAAAGTATTTGGCAGCACAATGGATCAGTGGTTAAGCACTGACACCTCACAGCAAGAAGGTCTTGAGTTCGATCCCCAGTTTGGACCTGGGTTTTCCTGTACAAAGTTTGCATGGTGGAGTCAGTTGTTCCAGCTGGAGACGGCCTGTTGATCTGTATGTGCTGTGAGATGTAAAATATGGCTGACATGTTTCAGTGAGTGTAGGTGTACTGTTTGAGTAGAACTCAGCCAGTACATTGAGTGTTTGTCATGTGCTGTGCTTGAGAGGCAGGAAGGTTCAGAGAAGGGAGGTTTATGCAGAGTAGGATGAGAAATTGGGGATCGGTCAGTTCTGGTTGGGGGTGTGGTTTGGTATGTGTATGTAGGATGTTTTGAATGAGGTGTTGAGTTGAGTGTTGAGCGGTTAACTGTAGGCAATGGGTCAGAGTTGGGCATGTATTTGAGTGGTTAACTGAGGGTTAGGCTATAGAAATGAATGGAAGTCAACGCAAAGTTTCCATAAAGATAGCTGTACTGGACAGTTTGTGTGAACTTGTTTTTGTACTGAGGTGTGGACATATGATGACAATTAACTATGCTTATGAGGGCATTTTGTCATTGTGTGGACATTTGCCTTGTTCACACAATAGAAAAACACCATTTGTAGATCAGGGGTTATGTTTAGGGATAAGTTTAGGTTAGGTTAGGGGAGTTGTCCTGTTACTGGTGGGTTACAGTTTGATAGTCACAGTTGTTGTGTCCTTGGGCAAGAAACTACACCCACCTTGCCTATTGATGGTGGTCAGAGGGTTTGGTGGCACCAGTGCATGGCAACCTTGCTGTCAGTGTACCCCGTGACAGCTGTGGCTGCAATGCAGCTTACCACTTTCGGTGTGAATGGGTGAATGACTGTAGTGCAAAGCACTTTGGAGTCTGGTTTAGTTAGGTTTAGGGTCTGTGAGGGTCTAATCGGGATCAAACCTGAGGAGCATCAAAGACAGATGACTGCTGTTTGCCTGTAATGTAATCAAATAAGACATTTTATCACCTCCATGGTTAAGAGGATTTTCTCACCAGTGAATAAGATGATACTTTTGGGGCGACTGTGGCAGAGTGGTTAGGGGAGTCGTCCTGGAACCGGAAGGTTGCTGGTTCAATCCCCCATCCAGCTGTCTCAGTTGTTGTGTCCTTGGGCAAGACACTTCACCCCTAATGCAGCTGATGTGTGTCCCGTCAGTGAATGAATGTGATTGGCACTGATTAGTCTCCATAGATGATTGTGCATGTTAGCTTTGTAGAGACCTAACAGAGTGCTGTGTAAATGAGGACACAGATTGTAGTGTAAAGTGCTTTGAGTGTCTTGGATGGACAGGAAAGCACTATATACTGTACGTACAGTCCATTTACCATTTACTGGCAGGCAACTCAAGAAAAAAATGTGTAAATGACAAGGTCTGCTGACCCTGGATGTGGAATGATGGGAACTTCTGAGCTTTCTTCTTTTGACCCTTAGAACAACCCCTTAGTCTTCAAAATGTTAAGCTTTAATGAGCTTTCAGCAAAGATTTGGACCAGGGACGGGGCTGCTGGTAAAAACCTGAGTCAGTCAGATGGGCTACCAGGGCCATGTCCTCGACATATGTGAAAAGGATCATTTATTCTCTGCTGCTGGTGATGCCACTGATGTAAGCAGAGAAAAGACTGTGACACAGACAGAGCGTTTACAGTGGTGAAAGTCCATAAATAAGATCTGGGTATATGGATGTGGTGTCCAGTTGCTTGGTGGCTATGTCAAGAAGCAGGACTTACTCCTCGGTACTTTGGCTTTGTAGATAAACTGGAGTGAATGATGATGACAGCCAGTGGTGGGCACAGTTCCCCTAAAGCACTATTAGGGGAACTAATTTCCTGATTAGTGCTTTAGGGCTTTTGCTAATTTTAAATTTTATAAGTGGATTAGCATTTACTAAATTTATAGGCTAAATTTAGAAGCACTAACTGAGGTCTATAAATATATTGATAAACGTTAATGTTAACAATGTGAAAGCTGTCACACATTTTGTTCATAATGTGTCACTTATCCACTAGGTGACAATATATTGACAATATCTGAACCCAAATATGGCTGTGGAATGTCAATGAAAAGAGAGCAACATGGTAAAATGTGACTCATGTTGTCTGTTGAAGAATGTTCATGGGCTGACTGGGTTATTTTAGTGCTTTAGGATTAGCTTTTGCTAAAACTTTCAGTGTGTTAGTGCTTTAGAATTAGGGGACCTAAATATTTGAGTTAGTGCTTTAGAARTAGGGGACCTAAATWTTTGAGTTAGTGCTTTAGAATTAGGGGACCTAAATATTTGAGTTAGTGTTTTATGGCTAGTGGAACTCATTTTTACATTAGTTATTATATTATTACACCACTGATGACAGCAAATACTGGACGTAAAAAACATGTAAAGAGCGAAGACAGCAGCAGAGTGTCCAGTCTGTCCTCCAGCAGTCTAACCCAGCAGCAACATCACACAACATGTTGAATTTAGATTTTAAATATTATCTTCAGCAGTGTTAGAAGCATCAGCAGAAGTTACCGTCAAGCATTAGCACAAGTTGTCATTATCCTGCGATAAAACATCTACAATGGCCGTTGTTAGCCACCGCTAGCCTCTGCTAACACTAATGAAGATCATTTTTAAAATTTTAATTCAAAATGTGTTTATAAAAACAATGTAGGTTGTACCTGTGGTCCAGCAGATTGAGGTGTAGCTCAGACAACAGCCATAACTGCAAGTTTGATGTCTTGTAGGGAAGCTTTAGCTGCATTGGAGTGCTAGCAGTTGTTATTGTTTCAAGATGATGATGTCATAATATGAACTGAGCACCAAAAGCAAAGGCTACGTTCCATTCCAAAATACCAAAATGTGAACTTCAACATTTAACTTCAACATTTAAGGTTTAACTTTTACATTTAGATTTAAACATTTAGAATTAATATTTAATATTTAAATATTTTTTAACATTTAAATGGAACATTTAGTAAAAATTAGCTAAATGTAAGAACAGTGAGCTGTAAAATGTTAATGGAAATTTTTAACACTCAAAAAGTGAGATAAATAATGAAAAATATGTTGGTGAATTTTTTTAACATTTTATTTTACACTTTTGCCCCATATCCGACTTCCTCTTTTTTCCAAAATAAAAGCCTTTACATTTTTACCTGTCGTTGGACCTTGTGTCAGCAAATTTAAGTTGTGTCAAAAGAAACTTTAAATTCATAGCACTTTAATGATTTTTGATACACTTTAATGATTTACCAATATTTTTAATTAATTTTTATTTTTATTTTTTTTTCTAGACCACAATTCCAGGTGTAGGCTTTGTAAAAATTCATGCTCCATGGAATGTTCTCTGTCGAGAAGCTGAACTGATGAAGCTAAAGATGCCCACCAAGAAAGTAAGACTGAGTTTTTAAAAAGGCTTTGTTTTTTTTTATAAACTGTGTTTGTCAGAAATGATTGACTTTTCCTAATTTACATTTAGTTTTACACACAACCATGCAAAACTAAATTTAAAATGCAGTATGAATGTTGGAGAGAAGCCACACTTTTTTAATCCATAGAGCCAACTTAACTTCATTTTTATCATTTTAATAAGAACATTAAAAAATATTGAAGCTCTGGTTTCTGAGAGTTGCAGAAAAACTAGTTTATTTTGTTTTTTTATTGTTCCTCTGACTGAACTTTACCGTTTAAATTCTTTATCTTATAAATTTCTTTAAGATTCTATGAATTCTCATAGAATTTTAAAACTTTCTCATGATGTGTAAGATTATTATTGACCAAGATCTGTTTCATCCTAAAGATCACACCTTCTTTATTTAAATACAGCAGTTCACTTTCAGACTGAAACGATTCTTAATGTTTCTCAATAAAATAAAATAAAATAACAACATAAAATGCATGGAAGGAATAGATTAAAGTGAATTACAAACTTATTAAACATGGGTAAACATGGTCTAATACAATGTTAAGGTTGAACGTTTTCTACTTAGCCAGACAATTGTTTATGCAGATGAAAATGAATAAGTTACAATAATCTAATGTCAATGTCAATTTATTTATATAGCACATAAAAACAACAAAAGTTGACCAAAGTGCTTCACAATTCAGCCAAATGAATAAAACAACAGAGCAACACATAAATGTAGATAATAAAATCTTTTTAAAATCCAGAAAAACGTTAAAAACATTATCTTTAAAAGAATCTCAAACTCTACCAGAATGAAAGGCCAGGGAGTAAAAGTGATAATCTGAAACATTTTCTTCAGTTCTACATTTTTATCAAGGCAATCTTTAATATTTCTTTCAAAAATAACACTGCTTAAAAAACAATTAGTTTAAAATGTTTTTTTCCCCTCCATCTAGGTGTATGAAGTGCAGCCATCCAGCAGTGTTCTGAAGAAGATCAGCTCCTTTGTGAATAAAGTCTTGGAGCCTCTTCACCCTCATGTTGAGGAGCATCAGCAAACCAACATCAAACAGCTGTCACACACCTTCTCCAGAGAAAAACAACACCTGTGAGTTCACCTTGTGCACCTGATGATGTCACAGATCTGTTCAAATCTGAGCTGGGTTGATATTGAACAGAAATTAAACAAAGCTTCAACAAATAAGAAATAAACAATGATGAAACTTGTTAAAAGCAAGAACTTATATATCCATCCATCCATCTTCTTCGGCCTATCCGGGGTCGGGTCGCGGGTGCAGCAGCTTCAGAAGGGAGGCCCAGACCTCCCTCCCCCCAGCCACTTCTTCCAGCTCCTCCGGGGGAACTCCAAGGCGTTCCCAGGCCAGCCGAGAGACATAGTCCCT